AAAATACCTGACATGACAACAATGATCTGCCTGACATCTGCTGTACTTTGCACTGTGCATGAAATTTATAAAATTTCTTGTATCACTACCTAAGAGTTTGCTTCAGGTCATAGAAGTTCTTCTTCAATCTGCAAACTGACTCTTCTTTCCCTGTACCACGAACCCTTTAGGCTGGTGCATGTAAATGTCTTCTTCAAGATCTTCATGAAAAAAGACTGTCTTCACATCTAACTGCTCAAGGAAGAGATCTTTAGTAGCCACCATTGACAGTATTATTCTGATGGTTGTAAACTTCACCACAGGAGAGAAAATCTCGAAATAATCAATACCATGCTTCTGCTGAAATTCTTTTACAACAAGTCTAGTCTTGTATCTTTTACTGTCATCATACTCAGTCTTCATCTGGTACATCCACTTGTTGTGTAATATCTTCTTCCCAGATGGAAGTTCTGTCAACTTCCAAGTCTGATTTTCTAGCAGAGAATCCATTTCCTCCTTCATGACTAGCTCCCACTTGCTTGAATTTTCATCTTGCGAGGTTTATTCATAACTCTGAGGTTCTCTAACATTTGTCAGATGAATATAGTTTAAAGTTAGAGTAACGTTGTGGAGAACGTCGAGTCCTTTCTGACATGCGAACTGCAACTGTAGGGGTAAATTGCTCTGAAACTGACCGTGGAACAATAGGAGTGGACGCCCCAGACCCACTCTCCTCGTCACTTGCATCTCTGTCCTGCAGTGTGACCTCTGGTAAATCATCAAATCATACCAACTCAAATTTCTGCAATGTTGTTTCAGAAACTGTACTAGACTTGTTCTTGTACATAATCTTCGCATTGAAAATCACATTCCTGTACCTTATGATCTTCCGACCCTGATCATCCCAGAAACGATATCCAAATGTCTCGCCTCCATAACCAATGAAATAACGCTTTTTTGACTTAGCCTCAAACTTACTACAAGCAATGAGAGCATATGAAAGATAACCAAATATTTTAAGGTAAGAAAATATCTTAAGATGTGAAAATTTAACCTTTCCCTCACCAGACTTCTTCAGGTAATTCACTGTTTAATGGAACAGATGGTCCCCTATTGATCAAATAAACGACAGTGCTGACTGCTTATGCTCAGAAAGTAGGTGGTAATCCCACGTGCAATCTCATGCTTCTAGCCCGCTCATTAGTGGTCTTGTTCATGCACTATGCAACATCATTTTACTGTGGTGTCCCTGGAATGATCTTCTACATTTTGATGCCCTGAGCTGCACAGTACTCCTTGAACCCACCATTATCAGACTTCAGACATTTCAACTTTAAGTCTGTATCAGTCTTAACCGTGGTCTTCCAAGTCTTGAACACACTGATACATCAGATTTATCAGACTTCAGACATTTCAATCTCATGCTTCTAGCCCGCTTATTAGTGGTCATGTTCATGCACTCTGCAACACCATTTTGCTGTGTTGTCCCTGGAATGGTCTTCTCCATTCTGATGCCCTGAGCTGCACAGTACTCCTTGAACACACCATTATCAGACTTCAGACATTTCAATTTTAAGTCTGTATCTGTCTTAACCATGATCTTCTAATTCTTGAACACACTGAATACATCAAATTTATACTTAAAGAAATGAAATCATACATTTCTGTTATGATCATCAATGAATGTGATGTAGTAACGAGAGCCTCCAAGAGATGTCATTGGAGAAGGTCCCCATATATCTGTGTACAAGATCTAGCTTTCCTGCTTTTAACGTCCTGTCACTTTTCAAGAAACTGACATTTCTCTATTTCTCCATAATGCAACTCGCACACATGTTGAAATCAAGCGACTTCAATTCTGATAGGTTGCCTTTAGACTGAACTTCCTTCATACCTCTCTGACTCATGTGGCCAAGTCTGCAATGCCACAACTTTGTTATGCTTTCTGCAACAGTAGTATCAACACTGTTAATTAAACCAGTAGTAATATATAACGTACCTGTTTTCTTACCCCGAACCAGTACCAGAGCTTCTTTAGTAACCTTCCAGGTGTTATCTGAGAACACTATTGAATGTCCACTTGAATGTCCACACTCATCAACTCATCAAACTGCCCAACAGAAATGAGGTTCTTCTTCAGTTCATGAATGTGTCTGACCTTTTGCAGAGTCCACTTGTTCTTGTTTGGAATTGCAATGTCAATATCTCTCATTCCTACCACGTTCAGAGCTTCTACATCTGTTAGATATACTTTCGAAAGCCACCTGTAACATAATTCTGCATCAATTCTCGATGAAAAGTTGTATGGAAAGAAGCCCCTGAATCCAGTATCCAGTCATCAACAAAATTATGAACTGTCAGTAATAGTGCATCATGTGATTCTTCAGTTACCACATTTGCACTGTCATTCTCCTTCTTAGGATTCTTGCAGTTCCTCTTTATGTGGCTAGTTTGCCACAATTCCAACAAGTTACTTGTTTACCAGACCTTGACTTGCTCATGCTTCTATTATTTGATTTTGATCTTTCCCTTATTTGAATTTGTCTTGTGATCTCTCTTTGAAATCAACATTTATTGCCGAACTCAAACCCGAGATTTCACCAGAATCTTTCCTGCGCATCTCCTCAGCCAAAATCAAATCATGAATATCTTCATATTTCAGTTTAAATTTACCTGCAGAATTACTAACAACCATCCTCATTGCTTCCCAACTATTTGGAAATGAAGCCAACAAGATTAGTGCACGTATCTCTTCATTAAATTCAATTTTCACAGACCATAATTAATTTGTGATAGTATTAAAATTATTTAGGTGTTGTACAATAGACGTACCCTCCGCCATCTTCAAATTGAATAACTTTTTCATCAGATATACCTTGTTATTCGCCAATGACTTTTCATACATACCTTACAGGGCTGCCTTAAGATCTGCAGTCGTTTTCTTTTTGATATTGTTGTGTTTAACGTGCCTCGATAGGGTCAATCAAATAACTCCTATAACCTGTCGATCCAACAGATTCCATTCAGCCTCATCCATTCTTTCAGGTCTTTTCCCCAATAACGGAAGATAAAGTTTCTTTCCATAGAGGTAATCCTCTATCTGCATCTTCCAGTAACCAAAATTTGTGCCATCGAACTTCTCGATCACTGAAACCTTCAATTCATCTGCAGTCATTGACTCTGATACCAGTTGTTGTGGTATATAGATAAAATAGAAGAATGATGATGAAGCGAAAAATAGAATGAGAAAAATCACACCATAAAAGAACAAAAGCCGAACACACAGATTTACGTGGTTCAATAAAATGCATATGTCAACAGAGTTACAAAGTATTTTATTACTTGAAGAATTTACACCAGTCGATAGTCTCGATAATTACAAGTGCAAACTCTTTCTCTCTTCTTCAATCTTCTCTTCCACACCGATATACAGCAAAGAAGAAGAATTGAAACGAGGAACCACCTGCTTTTTACGTATAAGAGAAATAAACTCAATTTCTCTTGTGCCACAAGCCAACACCGAAAAAGCATGAATTTTTGGAAAGAAACAGAACTCCGAATCTTATTCTCAGATGCAACAGGCCGATGCAACCAAGAGCAGAGCACCGGTGCTTGCGATTTCTTCTTCTTGTTCGAACCACACACACCAAAGGAACCAAGAGAGAGCACTTTTGTTCACTGCTCCCTGTTTCACGAAGCGAAGCGAGGCTTCGCTGTCTCGCTCATTAAAAGTCGCGAACCGGAACCGCTTCCTCCCATCTTCTGCGATTGACTGCTAGTGGAAGTTACACAAGGAATTTTCTTCGCTTGTGAAAAAGCTTCTACGAGAGAAAGGAAGCGGGAATAGGTAATTAATCTTTGTTGTTTTTTAGTGTTGTTTTTTTTGTTTTGCTTAAATATGATTTAACTTTGAGCATTTCTCTTATACGTTGTCATACAAATTTCATTAGGATATCTTGATATAATTTTTAATCATTTATAATATACATATTTGAAAACATGTTATGAATTTCCTTCCTTGGTATGAAACAACGGAAACTTCTTTTTTATTGTCATGAATCCATGGATTATAACATTAAGAAGATCTGTAGCCTATGGAATTCCTCCTAGAATTGTAAGATTATGTTATCTTCAATTAGCATAGTAATTTCATAGCGCAGTTACCCCTTTGCCAACCGTGCAAATGTTTGGATCAATTCCATTAATATTTTTCGAAACCCTTCTGACTTCAATAGAATCCCTAATAGCCATCCAGTATTAATTTCATAATTGGTTGGGCGTACTTTATTCTAGTGTTTTAAAAGGTTTGTATTTTTCTAAATTCTTTCTCACATGTGAACTTGCATGTCGGACTAGTTTTCTAATTTCAGCAGTGTTTTATGCAATTCGTGCTCCATTATGGATTCCTCTAGGCATAAGAGCAGAACAATAGAGCTGCTTTTTGTAGTAGTGGTTGAATCCTGATTTATGCACAGCTTGCGGCTTAATCTTACTCCACGTGGGCCCCTTCCAGTTTCCTTACTCGTTCAAGCATGCAAAGAGTCTCTAAATTTATATTTCAGGCCTACACCTTCTTAAAACATGGAATTTGTGCTGGTTCCTGATTATCCCTGAAGGATGGTATCTCTAATATCTCAGTAAGTGCAACTTTATAAAGCATATATTATGTTGGTTTTGAGGTGTTTGGTTTCAACGAAGAGGAATCTGTCAAGGCAAGGAGGGCAGTTTTGGGAAGAATCGTATTATTTTACCACACTCGGTTCAGATTTTATTGTTAGAATTCATTGCTTATTTTACAAATTGATGGGAGGTGCTGATATACTTTTTAACATTTATTAAACAAACTCACCAAATTGTCTCGTTATGTATGCCATGCCAACTAGTTTTCCATTGAGGAATTTATTGCAAATGGTTTTCATGATTTATAAATGTTGAAACAAGAAGATTTTAAATTGCTTCTTTTAGCTTAGAAGTTCTATCTAAAGTTGGCCCCTTCCAATTGCTTTTTTTTTTTTTGGCAGTTCTGCCGCAGCAATTAATGAGATTTATGAAGTCAAAGGGCGTCAACTGACAAGCCCTCTTGCAATTTGTGTTGCTGATGTTTCAGATATACCTCGCTTTGCTCTTGTGGACGGTTTACCTCACGGTCTATTAGATAGTCTTCTACCTGGGCCTGTTACTCTTGTTCTTAGGAGAGGTAAACCTTACACATTGATTGCTATCAGTCACTAAACTGTTGCATGTTCGATTGAAAATTCTCAATATTTATGGCCACAACCATGAATGGTTTTTCAGATGATTCCAGCATTCTGGAGAAGTCACTAAACCCAGGCTTACATAGCATCGGTGTTCGAATCCCAGACTATAAATTTATTCGTGCAATTGCTCGTGGTTCTGGGAGCGCCTTAGCTCTAACAAGCGCGAATCTCAGCGGACAACCTAGTAGCATCAGCCCAAAAGATTTTGAGCACCTCTGGAACCGTTGTGCATATGTTTTTGATGGAGGCTTGCTTCAGGGCAGTCGTGCTGGTTCGACGGTGGTGGATCTTACGAATCCTGGTTCGTATAAGATGTTGAGGCCAGGAAGGTAATCTGCCATATTCTTGTGCAAACAAGCTATTTCCAGCTTTTAGCGTGGAACTCAAATAATTGGGCTGTATGGTTTGTTTTGCAGTGCGATGGAGAAAACTGTTGCAGTGCTTCTTAGCTTCGGTTTGGAAGAAGCAATTTGAGAGAAGGTTATCATGAAGGATTCCTTCAGCCCTGCTGATCAAGAATGGCAAGCTTATCGGTTGATCTTTTTTAGTTAATGTTATTTTTTTTAATCTTTAATTATACAGAAATAGAAGTGAAGGTGATGTAGAATCCCCGATAAGTTGGAACTCTTGTGAAGAAAAGCTATACATTGTTATTTTAATATTTTTGTTGATCTGAGCTTCAAATCGTAATTTAATAAGGAGCTAGTGATAGATGTCGATGCAATGCAGGGCCGCTTTTAGTGTTATTTATAATGATTATACATATGATAAGATGCATAAGAAGTATGTGCGGCATGAAATTAAAATTTGCTCTTCACGGATATATAGAACTTATTATTGTACATATTTTGGTGAAATATGCAGAGATCCCTCCTTCGCTACAGAACCAGCAGGAA